CCCAGATTCTGCAAATGACTCCTAAGCATTGTCACACAAGCCACGAATAAAAGACCCCCTCATTTTCTTTATGTGGCAAATGATTTTCCTTTAAGGTAGGCAGGATACATATAAGAAACTCAAGATTCTGCACTTCTAGAAGGACAGAAGAAGAGCCGTGCATTAAAAAATGCTATGTCTGAAAAACAGTATAGATGCAAATACTTGAGGTAACCTTCTCTAGAATGAGCAGCACACAGTTGTAACAAATCATTAACACCCCAGAAATAGATAAACTGTCATTTATTCTGTCAATGGAGTAAATTAGAAGAGAAGACATACGAGCAACTTTCTCCATTTTAACAACATTGCAAAGGAAGGTTTCCAAATGCAAGATTCCTCCTCGCCTTGCCCCTCCCTAAAAAGTGTTTCAGTAAGGAAAACATCAAAACTGACCTCCTTCCAGCACAATCTCAAACTGAAATTCAACCAAATCTGCATTATTTACTGGGGCTGGATCTGAAAAGATCCGTCCCTCCCCCACGTAAAATTCTGCTCTGGATTCTAAAACTTTCGTTTAAAAGGGTAGAAATCCTGGAAAGGCAAAATGACTCTGTAATCGCTCTTCTCCTGCATCCATACACAAACAGCACGTACGTGACCCCATTCTTTCCTAAGGGGTGTTAAGAAGCCGCAGAGTACTGGCATCTCACTTTTGCACTGTTTCTCATTGGGAGCGGAGGAGCTGAACAGTTCTGAGTCCCAACCTACCAGCAGATGGCAAAATTCCCACCTTCTTCTACCCAGCTGTCAAGGATCCCGGCTCCTCCACACAAAGCTAAGATGCATCGCTGATCTAAAATTCAATATTGAAAACAAAGCCCAGGGAACATCCTAAAATAAACTACATGTTATTCAATAAGTAAACATCAAAGGTGCTACTGTGCATCATTAATTCTGATGGTTAAAAACCTCCACCGTGAAATAGCTATGAGTTGCCATGTTCGTTTCTTTGCAGTCTGTCACTAGTAGAAGAGACCGCAGGATATTGGATGAAGCTGTGGAGCACAAATCAAAAACGGATCACAGGTTCTGTATTTAATAGATAACGCGTGACAGGATCTTACTGGGACTGCATGGCTGTGCTTCTTCCATCCTTCTACTGGGTTCCTTGAAATGACCCTTCCTATAGGGATACCCAAGACAACATCTTTCATACAATTTTAGTTACATGGCACCATGCAGTATTGCAACACAGTAACTTAAGTGCTCCAAACAGGCAATTGTCTCGTATGTAAAAGCATCAGTACACTCTCTGTGCATACTTTATGGCTACTGCTTGCTCATCATGGGAATTGCATGTTCTCCATTTCCAATGTCCAGGGCAAACAGATACTATACTCTTCAATTCAAATATGCTGCTTCACTAAAACAAACCATCATAAACAGCAAGGCCATTCGGTTACAGAAGGGACCAGCAAAAGAGAGCCAGCCAGAAACACAATAGAAAAAGCAGCAAGCAGGATTCCCGTTAAAATGCGTACAAAGTTCAGTGACAACCCTCCTGCTACTAGCTCAGGCAGAAATAATGAAAAAAGCAACACAGCATGCTTATCTAGGATTGCACTGTGGGTTTATTGTTCATTTATGACTTGTACATTCTAGTGATTATAAAAAAAAAACCTAAGAGATAACATCTGTCACTGAAGTACAGATATAATTGCCATCTTCTTTGGTCCAAGTCATTCTCGATTGTTACAAAGCAATCTTCTGCCAAATGAGACTGAGCATA